CCCTTGTTTATTTTCTTCTTCCCTCTTAGCAAAGTGCTCCTTAACCTTTGCTAATCGTGCAGTCTTTCTTCTGCTTCTTCGGCTGCGGTTTCTGCTTATTTCCTCCTGTTTACAAAGAGATAGATGTGAAAAATACTGAATGAAACACCATCTTCAATAAATAAAATGTAGATTGACTGAAGACATTGACTTGGGTTTACTTTTAACAACGTGACCTGATGTTCTCAGAGCGACCCTGAACAACATGACCTATCAAGTGTCTTGTTTGGGACAGTACATACTGTAATGTTATGCTAACACTTGTCAAAACCTAACATCAGTAACCACATGACATTCAGAAAGAGCAGCCAGTGTCACGGCATGTTTAAAATACATGTTTTCACTATATAATTTTATACTAAAATGCATTGTTTCATTAAAACACACAATTAATTGACTGTGGATTTTGTAAAAATATAAAAATGTAGAACTCACCACTAATTCCTTGCTTTCCTTTTCAAGTTTCTTAGAGTTTTCATTTAGAGATCCAGAATTTAGATTTATAACTGAGGAAACAAAACATATGCTTTTATCAGAATTTTGTAGTATTTCCAAATCTAGCTGTAATTAATTTTCAGAAGGTAAATTACCAGGAAATTCTTCCTTATTTGTTGCTGCAACAGTCAAAGCAGAGACATCTGGGCTGTAAAATTATTTTTACAAAAATTATTTGTGCTTAAGAATTGGGGAAAGGGCAGTGTGTATATTGTTCCTTAATTCATTCAGTTCCACTAGTAGTTTTATGCATATATTATCTCTGGCATGTCACTTACTTAAATTTAAAAACTGTATTAATTATCAAGTTTTTGTAGTATGCATTATGAATAATTTTTGTAAAGGTACAATTATATGAATATTTTAGAAATATTTCATTTGACATTCATTATTGCCTATGCAACAGATATTTTGGTGACCTCTCACCTGGTTGTTTTCAGACAGCTTTTTCTTCTGTTTTCACTTTCATTTTGGGATTTCTCCTTTAATTTTTCACAACAAAACAGAGAGTAGTTATTTTCATTGTTATTTGCCCAAAAAGTGCCTAAAGATGTTTCATATCGCAAACAGAAGTCGACCCTAGTGCCCTCTTCTCCAAATGGGGGTACTAATGTGAGTTTGAAGGAGAAAAAATCCGTCCCACCATTGTTTGACCCAGGTACGTACTCTGCCAACAGATCAAAATGACTTTTCCATGAATCTAAAGAGGTACGTACATAGACCATCTTATCAAAACAAATATTCAGTACGCAAATGATTCCTCTTAGAGTTGTGGTCCCAGAAAGCAACTCTAAACTCTCTAGTTCTATCTTCTGCTTGTGAACCTGC